CACTGAACGTTTATCTACAGTAATCATGCATTGGAAGTATTATTGGTCCGCTTCGCAATCTTCACTTTACCCATCGCGAGTTATTCTGTAAGCTACCACCCCTGGGTATGTGGCAAGAGAATCGTAATCCGCCGCGCCAGTGGGCGTCGCGTGCGACGTCGCGCCTACTAATGACGACGATTTTGGGTGGTATTGGTCGAGAATAGGCAACGTGTGACCAGAAACAGACATAATTGTCTACCATGTCCTTGTCTTCATGAAATCTGATGCTCCAATTGAAGGGTAGTGCAAACTGAGGAAACATCGCGCCCATTGCCGCGCGCGGCGAAGCGGCAGTTTACGAGTCTCTTGCCCGTCTCCCACCACTCCTAGACTCTTTGAAAACACCAGATTTCTACATATCTGACAAGCAATATCTCCGATTTGCTCCAGAGTCGGGAAACATACCGGTGGTGCGACGCAACGCCCATTGACACATCGACCATAGCAAGGATCGACACCTAAACAAGTGAAATCGTCTGAAGGTGAATTGGATTTTGGGGGATACCCTTAAAAAGGCCGTGAGATGAAAGTCTGTGATCGAGGTGAAGTCAGTCATTTGAAAGCGCATTTCACGTTCACTATTTGGGCGGAGCAGGCTCACAATTATGCATTTTGCATCGAATTGACCATCCTTTCTAGGGTGGCGAAGAGGAGTGGTGCACCAGTGGGACATGCGCAATAGTGATCGGCCCCTCCTATTGTAACGAATGTGAAAAAGAAAAAAGGTATTGTTAGAGTAACCCCAAAACCAAAGTACTGAATAGGTGCCACTGTAACATCGTGAATGTAGGAACATCTAAAATTTTTGCTATCCCAAACTTGCTGGGTATACTGGAAAATTACCATTCTTGTCAATGAGTCCCTCATGCTAAAAACGTTGATTAGGCTTTTTTTCTGGAGTAATCACTACTATATATAAACGGCAACGTCTGTACGTTTGTCTGTTTGTCTGTCTGTCCGGAAATTCGGAATCACCTGAAGAACCAGTTGGAAGGGGCGCGGGTCGTTCCAACGGGTGGGTTGGGTAGGGCATGGGTCAAGATGTACGGAACACACATGAACTGAGCTAAGCTCCGCCCACTGTGGGCGGGGCATGCGCACGTTTGTGAGCTACATAGTTCAAAAATTCGTAGTTCGGTTCTAGAAGATCCCGGAGAGCGGAAATTGTGGGCAACGATAAGCAGTCAGTTGGCGGATGAAATGAGGGAGTCACACCCGTGATGGGCGAGGCGTGCTATAGGTGGGCGGTGCTCGCTACAGAACTTTCAAAAATTCGTAATTCGGTTCCAGAAGATCCCGGAGAGCGGAAATTGTGGGAAACGATAGGCAAACAGTTGGCGGACGGAATGAATGAAGCACACCCGCGATGGTTAGGGCGTTCGCCGAAATGAACGCGGGTGCCGCGCGGAACAAAACCCTCAAAACATTGACCGAAAAAACTCCAGGAAACGGGGAGTAAGTGAAACTGAGCAATGGTTGGGCAGATGAAGTTAGTTAGGAATAACCGTAGGGAGTATACCAAACGGTTGGTGCCGTTTACTCTGCGCTTCCTCATCACTGACGAGACTGTGCCGTATAGAAACGACTGGCCCTCCCTCTCATGGAAAACTTCTCACCGGGACCCACTTCACACCCGGAAGGAGTGATTCAGTTATTTTTTTGGTAACAACTTTCAAACTCACCTCCAAATCGACTTGGATTACATGCGAACGGAGCTCTTATTCTTGATACGCATACAAATTGGGTACCGTGGCAGAAGAGGTACCTGAAGGACAAAATTAGATGAGAGTTGGAAGAGGTTCTGTTGGGAAGGCGTTGTTGCACTAGACCCTCAGTGCCTATATGTTCAGCGCCGCACAATTGGCGCTTGTTCATTGTTGCGCCCTCCCTCTCAAGACGGCTAACGCAGAAAAGCCCGCACCAATGAATTACGCTCGCCGACAATGGGCCCAGTCTCTGCCAGCCTACAGCAAAACGCCCTTCCTTCATCAGTTAATTCCCGCACCACCCTAATCATTGCCCGGTATTACTACGCATTCCTGGCAATTAACTCTAGGTAGCGAATTCTGACTGGAATACTCTCAGGGTTTCCTGCAGAGTTTAATCCAAAGCATTTTGGAGTATGGGTCGTTGTCTCCAGACCATTACTATTATTATTTATTTTTTATAAACATCCCTCTACGGCATATTATGGTCGTTTCTGGACGTCATCATTGGCTGGATTTGGGGCCTGCCGCCACCGTTATCCCACAATTCGCTGTTCGCTTCCCGCTCCAACAGTTGATGCGAGAAACAAGCTGGCCGCCAGCGCCAACTCGAGCTCCCTGCAGCCTCAGCATGTACAAGAACGACCGAGCGTCATGACATATTGTGGAGATGATAGGTGCGCGGACCTCTTGGGAAGTTTGCGTATAAGTTCGTGTTCTCGCTCAATTAAGCACGTGTCAAGAGCTAGGGTTTGGAGCCGGCAACGCAGCCGTGTTCTCCGAAGACGGTAAGCGACAACAGATTGGTGAAACAGGCCTGGACGCTTAGCAAACCCACCCCTTCCCCTGCCCGAAGCGCACGCACTTAGCATCGCAGAGCGACAGAATTGTACCCTATTTAAATATGTGGCGCTTTTCTTGCGGATACTGCCGTCTCGATTCATTGGAAACACGCCTTTGTCCAGCACAAGACAGGATGACAGTCATCTCAACGGGACACTTAATACTACGCCATTTTCGAATAAAGTATGCAGCCACGCCTCCCCTTTTTTCGTTAGATGCGTAAGCAGATTTGATTAGCATGGTACTCTGAATAGCAGTCAAGATTACCGATGGAGGCAGATTGTACCTATTTTAAAGCCCGCAATGACAGACTATTAGTGTTGACGAAACATATGTAATGTAACCCCTGACTTTTTGTTAAAATCTCAATAGCCGACCATCGTGCAAGATATACGTGCTATACACCATCATCATCACTACTCGACGCCAACGGCTTCAGGCAGCGTGTCGATTCGCATCCTCCAGAAGGACGGCGGGTGCGGACACCGAAGCAAGGCACGCCGCCCACAAATCATCACTGCTGACATGATTTCACCAGTCGGTAATTCGTGCGGCATTGCTAGCCTGCAAATGCAGGGTGGCCGCTGAGGGAAGCTAGCGTTATGAAAGAGCTGATGACGTACACATCTTGCACACGTGATGAGGAAATACCAGCATCCATGCAAACGAATTACGGAAGGATCAAATTACAAAAAAGTCGGGGTTAAAAAACCTGCCTCAACCTAATACATTGGGTATGTGACAAGAGAATCGTATTCACCGCGTTGAAGGGCATAGCATTCGACGTCGTGACCGACGAATGACGGCTTGTTCCAAGTAGTAGAAAAGACGATGGTTCCAGGTAGTAGATGGCGACAACAGGCAATTCAGAACCGAAAATAGTCATGAATGTCTACGATGACGGGGTCTACATGAAGTCCGGTGCTCCAGTCGACAGGTTAACACGAGTTAAGAAAACGCCGCGCCCATCGCCGCGCGCGGCGGAGCGGCAAATTACGATTCTCTTGCCCGTCTCCAGACTACATTCAGTGAATATTACAGAAACGTCGCTACACCCACCTTGATCCACAATCCCTGTTGAAACTGGAGCAACTCGGCCTGGGGGCGTATGTGTAGAGGTTGTCTGCAAAAGCAAATGAATAAATAACTGGTATTCTTAGGCTAATCAGCTTCGATGAAATGAAATATGTTAGAGCACCTCGCACTAACCCGTGTAGTCATTGGCTAATCCATCAATATTCACCATCGGCGAGAATGGGACCATAATCGATCGGCCGAAATGCGACTGACTGCTACAGTAAATGTTATCCGTGGGATAGTCAGTTTGACGTTGGGATCGTGACTGCAAACGATGGTAATGAAAGCGAAGTAAACTGTTACTCTTCTTGGCAACAAACTATTGTTTCCTGCACAGAGACAAGGTGAGAGCCTGCCTTGAATGAGCTGTGAGCTCACCTAAAAGGTGGGCTCTTGCCATGTGAGAGGGGGACAAGGCTACGGCTGTAGCAATTCTCTACTTTCATTACTCGAAAGTGCGTGGAAATAGAGCTGGAGCATTGCAACGGTTGGATGCCTTTCGGACTCCACCTCCTATCCGTCGCGCGGGGTGCACGTCGACGCTTATTGTTAGGTCCCGCAGCGAGCAAGCGCAAGCGGTCTCTCGCGGTCAAGTATAGGGCAATCAGGCGCGAGAAGGCAGAAGCCTTTTGGCTATAGTTAGGCGTAT